GAAAATTCATTCATGCTATGCTGCACCTCTGACCGTGACCCACGGTCGTTTCCAGACACGGCTCTCTCATCCGAGCAAAAGTTTCAAGTGCTGAGCTCCAAGTGTTGCGAGGCTTCCCGCATACCCGAGCTCCCGGGAATGAACATGACAACGTAGGTCTAACCCACCGTTTGGCCGGAAGACGTCCAGTGTAATGTAATGGGTAAGATTCCAGTGTTGGTGACCTGTGGAAATTTTCGCTGGTTTGACGCACTCTGGGGTTCCAGTCATGCCAAAGTCTGCTTCAATCAAATCCAGGCGGTGGATCACCACGTAGTGTGTCAACAGGGCTCACAACTTGCAATTTGGGGAGCTGATCAGATTCAAGCAAACAGAACTTTTGATTTCAGAATTGGGAAGGGCTGCAACCGAACAAACTTGAAATACATAGCTTGCGATTCTTTTTTCTCGGATTTTTATGCGCCTGCAGATGGCTGTCCTGTCAGGCCCCTATCGGCACTTTCGCATGATGGATGTTCCAGTCATTCATTTCAGCAGCTGCAGCAGGCCAGGAACCAACAAACATTTTTGACCCGGAGTGCGATCCGCAGGATCCTGTCTGGGTTGGGGATTGGTCCTTCCCCGCCGACCAGCAGGGGTTGATCGTCCTGGGCTCGCCCCTGGAGCATGAAGACTACGGCCAATGTCGCCTTCAGCTTAAACGGGCTGAGCATGACCGCCTCCTGGATCGCATCCCGCGACTGGGTGACCTGCAGGCAGCCTGGCTTCCTGCACTAATGCGCAGCGACCCGGGCCAACTACCTTAGCCGCGTTCTGCCGCCGCACCTGGCGGAGGAGTATGCCAGGAGCCATGATGATGCGGTAACATCATGCTTGTCAGCCAAGCCTGCGGGCGGCGCAGCTCGCCTGAAAGCACGGTGGCGTAGGCCTCCGCTCTACCGGAGCCGACCGCCATGCCGCGCACTGGGCATCCTGGTGTGACGCCTACCTGTCATTCATGGCCTCCGTAGTCGCCGGCTGGCTCCTCCCGGCCCTGGAGAGGCAGCAGCCTCTCCCGTCGGCCGCTGCCGCGGTTCATTCCTTGCAGGGCGTGCGAGCTGATAGCTACTGTATGATGCGCCGGCATGGACCGCGGGCTGCGAGCCTGAAATTACCCTCCGGGGTTGGCAGCACGTCACTGCCCGAACGTGCGATGAGCGCGCGTGCGAAACACACCTTGCTGACCTGTCGCCTACGTCTCGTGCGCAGTCGGGGCCGCATTCTGCCAGGGCCATCACCGCCTTGCCGACCCATGAGGCCTTCGTCATCCCCAGTGCCCACTTCCGCGTCCTGCGTGCGCTTGCCGCTGCCGCTTGCCCCGCGCTTCTGCCGATGCCGGGGTCGCCTCGACCCGCTTGGGGATCACCCGCGCGCGCTTCCGCTTGAGCACGCCGTCATTCGCGTTTGCCGGGAGGCTGGTGCCGCCCGCGGTTGCCCGCAAGTCGTAGGCGACATGAACACCGATGTGCCCGTCGTTGATGACAGGCGCATCGAGGTTGTCGCAAAAGGCCTCCCGCTGTGGCACGGCGCGCAGCTCGCTGTTGATGCGACGCCTGTCTCTCCCCTAACGCGCGCTCGCGAGCCGCAGACCCGAGCTGACGTCGGGGCGTGAGCGCTGCCGAGAGGGAATCGGCGCTACACCTACCCCGTTCTCGCGCGGGCACGCAGGTGTCAACTTGTGGTCGTCGGCCTTGGGGTTGGTGGCAGATTTGGCCTGGCTGCGCCTGGCGGCCCAAGCCGCCTGCGTTTCCAGATGGGGGGATCGCTATTGGCCGTTGCCGCGCAGCGGGCACGCGCCAGCTCCCTGCTCGAGCTCCCACTTGCAGGCGAGGGCAACGGCGAGGATATTGCGCCGGAGCCTGCTCCTGGCCGACAACCGCTGGGAGCACCCGGTGCTGGCCAGCCGCCTCCCGCCCAGGTGAGCGGCTGGCCTCGCTTGCTTCTTGGCGAACAGGCACTGTACATTCTAGTGGCAAAGGGTGCAGCTGAGTTCTTCCAGTCTCACATCGCCACCCCCGTCCGCGCTAAAGTTTGTTGAGATGTTGATTGGGAAATCGCGCGTCCCGGCCTCCTGATCTTCAATCACTAGCCTTGTTTGTGTCTTTGAAGATGCATGGGTGCACCAGGATTCAAATCGCAAGCTCGGTCCGGCACTCGTTGAGATCCCCCGGATCTGTAACGGCTAGTCCTTTCTTCTTACGGATGTCTATTATTGAGTTGCCACATGCGGATGTTGAGCTCAGCTCTGCAAGACCCCAGTCGCGAGCGTTGTCACCCTATCACGGCTTTCAGGTGGCAAGCTTCGCAAATCGAATCGGAAGCCAGGTCCCTCCGAGATGTTTATAAGATGTCGCGTTACTCAAAAATCAGAACACAGGACCGATCCCGTTGACACTTCTTCAGCTTCACGGACCTTCATTGTTCCTAGCCTGCTTAGCAGAACAAACGCACCACACTTCAAACCGCATGTAAAGCCCAACCTTTCACCACCAAAAGCCCTAAATTAGTACCGATGCAGTAACCGAACCTGAGCCCAAGCCTTGAAGCCTAGTTTAGGCCCCGTTCCCGCCAGCCCTAAGCCGCCATCAGCCCCAAATCCGACAGGTTCAGCTTCAACTTGCTACCAGCCCCAACCCTAAACCGCTACCGAGCCAAACCTTCACAGTTGTCCAAACCTCAACCCCAAACCAGAATCAAACAGAAACTCCAAACAATGAACTTCAAACAGGCATGAATTGTAAGCTTGCAAACTCCGACCTTAAACTGCCACGAGACCCGAACCCTTAACCCCAGCCAGCCCCAACACTAAACACTCATTAGCCCTACTTTCAACCGACCCCGACCTTAGCCAAAAACCCACCCACCAGCCCTGAGCGCTTACCAACTCCAACCCGGAACCCCCAAGGAGCCTTAGCCCAACCTCAGCCAAGTCAAAACCCTCAACTTTCACCTCATTTCAAACCCCTAACCAATTCCAAAGCGCAAGCTGCCACCAGCCCCAAATCCTTAAATCCTTACACCCTAGCCATTTCCCAGCCCTGGACGCTCATCAGCTCTCAAACCTAGCCGACGCCCAACGCGAAACCAGCCCCAAACCGTAAATTCCGACCCGAAAACCGGACCCGAAGCCCGTAAGCAATCCCAACCTGAGACCGCTGCCAGCCCCAAACCTGAAACTTTAACCCGCAACCTTAATCCGAAAGTCTATAACCAACACAATTGCAAACCCAAACCAATCCCAAGCCTAACCGCCACCAGCCGCAGACACCAATTTGTCAACCTGCACCAAACCCCAGCCTTTTTGCAGACGTCGTGTCTACGCGGAATATATGCCAGTTTGTGCATAACTGCTGCATATGCAGCGTATGCATACCTGCTGCATAAAGTTCTGCATATGCCAAAATCTTGCATATTTTTTTAATAATCATGCGGTGAGTTCTGCATAGACGCCATGGCTATGCAGAGGTTATCTAAAGGTAGCAGACTCGACTACGGTAGTTTGGCAAGTTCCGCACATATGCCGAATCTACCAGGAGGGTGCACTGCACAGACGCCATAGTCTTTTTCAAAAGAAATGCTTTTGCAGAACTTTATATAAAAATGCGGTTTTTGGATAGTTTGGGTGGATCCCGGAAAAGTTCAGGGAGGGTTCTGAACAAGTTGAATAGTATTGAAATGAAAGAGACGGTTGAAACCGACCGTGTCATCCATTATTGGAGTGGATGAAATGGATAAAATGGGTGTTCTTCATATTTCGTCATTTGTTTCATTCATTTTGTCCATGTCATTTTTAGTGGCGGATCCCGGACATCATTCACAATAAATGCAATGGATGGAGCAGTCAAGGACCTGCTTAATCAATTAATATTTCACATAGCAGTTATTTCAACAGCTATCTATTTCATGAAGGATTTACGTCAGTTATGTATCGAAAGGTACTATTACCATGTAATTTCCCTATTCAAACGTGCGGGGCCCCTTTTAACAGTAGTCTTCCCCTTTTAAGCTCAGGAAATTCAGGCCCCTGAATTTGTTATGTAATGTAAGGCGGGGTGGCAATATTTAGGGGAGGCAATTAACAAGTAGAGAATGAGTTCCCCGAAAGCGGTTGGAGCATGAAATGGTCAGCGCCACGATATCTAAAATCAGTTTCATCCGTTCATTTTTCCTTATATATTTGCATCCATCCATGACTTCATCCCTTCATGTTGTTAGATTTCGAAGATACTACGTACGGCAAAATGAAAAAACGTACATCGCATCATCATCCCATGAAGCCAATATCAAATCATCCGATCCATCAATTGTCGAGCCATCCTGTAGACAACACTTCAGCATAACTTTCCCTTCCGCCGGTTTCGCTGAGAAGGTTTTCGATACACAGCAATATTCTGCAGGAACACAGAGAGGGCTGTCGATTCCCAACAAATTCTGGGGACGCCCCACGCGGAAGTACAATTATGAAAAGCTACGGCCAGCTTTGCCCTGTGCTGTAAACCACATTACGTAATTATAGTAGCTAACCCCACGAAAGCCAATAAAATTGCGAACACCTCAAGAAAACCGTGCGCAAACCCCACAGCATGCCATCAACAAGACATCCTGTAAACACCACCTCCACGGAAGAAATCCAAACTTTTTTGGACAAAGCATTTCCGCATCTTGGGTCTCAGCTCATGTTGGATATTGGACAACCTCATATTGCAAAGGTTTTTCCGCATTTTACACATTCCGGACATGATTATGAGAAGGTTGTCATGAGCGATGCGAATAGGCACGCTGCCGCCAAGCTATCCGCGTTTGGTTCGAGCGTTGCAGACCAGCCAGCACACAGACAAAACAACATGAACATTGGACAATGCTCCAACGGACTTTGTCAGCAACGCATCTGCATATCTTTCAACGTTGGTTTCTGAGCCAAGAAGCCAGCAGATTGACAACCACAGCTTTTTGCAGTTTCCATGGCTTCTTCATGGCTGGGTGGACAGTCCATTCTGGAGGAGGTTATATCTTGTGTACATCACCGTCTTCTAGTATGCCTCGACGAAGCTGCATTGAGCACTGTTGGGTTGTGTTGCCGTGCTTTGGCTTGCATATCTGCAGAAGAAGGCCTCTGGCAGCGCTTGGCTCTGTGCCAAAGTCGGCTTGCCGCACTGCGGTTTCTAGGTGCGTTTAGCCCAGAAGCGCGTGAAACTACCACAGATGACGTGAAGACTCTTGTTGCAGGACGGCGTTTGGCACTTGGTGTTCCAGCGCAAGCTGAATCCGTGAATTGGCGGGACATGTGTCGGCAGCTAAATATTTCGATGGCGGAAACGCCATGGGAATTGGAAGGCTACACGGACGGATGCAGTGCAGCATTATGGACAGAACTGACAGACGAAACATCGAGCGACCTTACGCTTCCGGGTTCGACATCCAGCAACGTTTTGGCATCCCAGTCTCCGCACTTGTTCTGGATCGGTGGCGATCGTATGCTGGGAATTGCTGGTGGATATTCGCCCGATGTTGTGGGCGGCGCTTCGTTACATCCTCTCAGGCAAGTGTGCCTTCTGGATTTGCCGCATGTTCGGGGTCATCGAGATCAATTGACGCGTCCCCAACTCGTGGTACGCCGTTTGGATTGTGGGACAACCGAGGCCAGACTTCCCCATGGTCATCCATCCATGAACGGAGCTGCTAGCGACTTTGACCCAACAAGGAAAACCGTTTTTTTCTTTGGCGGAGGAGCCCCGCATTCAGATGTGACCAACACGACGTCTGCTTTACGCTTGGAAGGGTGGGACGGTGATGCTCCCACTGCCATGTGGCAGCCCGTGACTGCCATAGGGTGCGTAGAGTCAGGGCAAGTTCCCAGTGCGCGTCAAGGCCTGAAAGGAACGGTATTTAACGACGAGTTCATCATATTTGGAGGTCGACTGCTGGGCGGACGTTGCACAAATGAAGTTTGGTCGCTGGATCTAACATCAGATTCAGGCGAACCATTTTCTCTTGCTAACTTAGTTTGATCAGTTGTTCTCCATGCGTTGTTGCGCAGGTGCCACTGAATCTTCGCCGCTGTTAGCGTGGAGGTGGGGCAGGTTGTAATGTTGCCATTTGCAAGTGAGTTGCCTGGTGCCAGGCAGCTTGAATGCGACGGTCAAAGTCCTTCGCCCCGCGTGTGGCACAGTGCCTGTCAAGTGATCCACGGACACTGGCTGCCTGATGCAATGGATGACCAACTTTTTTCGGAGAAGAGAAGGGGATTGATATCCATGATGTTGTCCAATTCAGTGGCATGGCGTGCTGTAGTTGGCACAGATTCGATGATCACCGATGGTTTAGGGGGAATGGTGAAGAGTGCTCAAATCACGAAGCATGCGTGAACCAAGTCATCCATTTCGTGGTTGGAAGCTACGACATGGGCCTCATTGGGGTTTCCAGAGATTTGGTGACCCCTTGGGATCCCTCCATTTTGAGAACTCTAAGCCTTCAACCTTTGAATCCCAGTCCATATTCTTGCGAAGCCCACGATATATCAATGCTATATTAATATTTGTATACGTGGCTATGACTTTCTACAGGGAGAGACGTCAGTAGCTGACTTGGCATCTCAAAATGGCTCCTGCTGGGCCATCCCCTCGCGCATTAATGGTGATACTATGGGAACATATTGGGACTCAAACCCATTGTACTTGGAGTCAACATCATATGTCGAATGTTATCGATTGTGGTCACCGCTGGTGGTTTTCTGGGGTATATGATAGGGACCCGAATTACGACACGCATCCGCATGTGTCATCAAGCCGATGTGGGCCTGGGCTGCCGGAGTGTTCCACCCGTCACGCAGACATACGCAGCTGCTGAGGGTTGAGTAGTGCAGGATGGTGTCAGACAGCCTTCGCAGACGTAGATCGTCGAAGCAAACTTGGGATGACGCTAACTGACCGCGAGCGTTTTCGGGACGCGGCATCTGCAATCAACCGGCTGGCTGGCATGTATGCAGACACGAGCCATTGGTCTTCCATTTTTGTAGCCACTTGGGCATCAACATGCGACAATTGGCACCAAATCCGGATTCCTGCAGAGCATGCGGACTCAGCTTTCACGATGGATGCTAGCCAGATGCGTCTGAAGTCTCCGGAGTGTTGTTGGGATGGACTATGCGGCATGGGATTCTTCGGTGTTGCTATGGACCACTAGGTTGAACGCTTGCGATGGCGGTGCATTATCAGCTTAAGTATGTTCCCTGCTCTCTGCTGTTTGGGCGGGCGCGTTGGCAGCGGGGCACGAGGGAGGGAGAGAGAGAGACAGAGGCAGGTGACACTTTCCAAGTCCATACTCACAGCCCATTCTCATTGGCTGACAGTAGATTTTTTTTGCGTGCAGTCTCAATGGGTGATAGTATGCTTCCCGGACTGTTGTGCCAATTTGTGCAGTAGGTGCTAATGAGTTTGTGCGTAGCCATGGCTTTTGGAAGTGAAAGTTATGAGCAGCAGTTCCAAATCAAGTTTATTCAGCTTTGTTCATCCCTGCTTCTGGAGTGGTGAGCGTTGCCTTCAAAACCAAGATGGGACAGAATCGGAGCTCATTGACTGCTACATATACACTGAGCAAGACTATGACTACAGTTGTGTTGTTCATTTATGCTTCGACTTGTGTGTTCTCAGGCATCTTCACATGCGCCATAGACCCTTAACCTTAAACTTTAAATGTGCAGTTCAGGTTCATCTACGGCGGCAGTACTTGGCAGTTCGAGGCTCCGTATCAAGTTTGCAGGAGGTTTTGGGGTTTTGATTGTCTGCACAGTTTTCTTGAGCTGTACCTTTTGGCTTGGAATTGTGAAGTCGTAGCGGCATCCAATCACGGCTACATCATCATAGGTCCATAGGGGTAATGTAGGGATAATGGAAAAGAAAATGGAAACTATTAGTTAGGGTTTAATGTTTATGGTACATAGGGGAGGGTTCTATCTAGGATTATATAGAGATCTCGGGTTTCCAGGCCTCCCATTGTCAGTCCCTGCAGTGACGTTTCGGCATTACCGAGAAACGGATCACAAGCTAGTGGTGAGAGGAGATGCAACGGAACTGAACACATCACCTTAAAACTGGGGCCCACAAAAAAGCCCTGAGCCCCTAAGCCCCAGCCCTGAACCTTAAACCCTAAAGTCCCTGTGCAGGAGCCACCAGAGCCTCATGACTTCCGAACAATTTTTGTTCAGCTCTCAGTTGCCTGGAGCAGGCTTTGGAATTTGGAGTTTAGGGTTCCCGAGTTTTTTGAGAAGAGCTTCGGGTTTGTTAGGGAAAAGGGTTCAGCATTTGGGGTCTCTTGGGGCTCAGGGTTTAGGGGCTCAGGAGTGAGCGAGGGCAGTTGGATTCTGGGCTGCAGCTTGGAAAGGGAACTGGGAGTTTCCCAAAATTAGGGGTACCTTATATGGGTATATAGGGGGTACATAGGGGTTATATGGGATAATGGAAAATAGAATGGAAGCTACTATTTAGGGTTTAGAAGGGTTTAACCAGGGTTAGGTCGTGTGGAGGGTTGAGGGCATGGCCACATTGCGAAGAAAGCGCCTACCGTAGCAGGCTGGTCCAACAACATGGTTCCAATGCAGCAGCTTTCTAGATTACTGGCAATGATTCTACTGTTCCAGAAGGCATATGCAAGAACCTCGGTTTTGCTTCAGCCACATGGGCAGTTGTCAGTACCGTGGCGGTTTTTTTACCAAATTCCTAATGTGGGGGTGGTTTTAAATCACCCCTGAAAGTTACGGGCAGACCAATCTCGAAAGAAAGGGTTCAGGAAATGGGGCATCGTTGGGGTCATTCCCCCTTACAGTAGCTGTTACCACAATGGGTTATAGGAGTTATAAGAACCCCCTTAATGAGGCCCCTTTAAGGACAGTTACTGGGAGGGGGAATGACCCAAGGCATCGTAGTAAAAGCTCAGAGGCCTGAGCTCTCTGAGATGGGTAAGAATAGGAGTAGGAATAGCAGCAGGGGTAGAGGTAGGCGTTCTTGTGATTTGAGTTCAATTGCGTGCCATGATTTTTGCGGATGTGTAGGCCGGGGCAGTCTAGTATTATCTCTTTATGAGAAGGTCGCTTACATCATGCTAGGCCTTTGGCCTCCTGTGTGTGCCCTGTGTTCCTGGATTGTACTGAGATCTTGGACATGGCGGCGAGGCCGGAGATTGCCGTATCCATTCATGGTCGCGATACTTGCGTGATCATCAGTTGACCCATTTGAGCTATAGTCTATGATGCAATACCCCAGCAATTGAGAATCAACTGGAAAAGAACAAGGAACATGGCATGAAATGGAGACTGCTATTTGTAGAGTTATATAAGAGTCGAATGAGCTATAGCCTAAACTCCTGAAAGAGGGTTACATAGGGGACTATATAGGGATGTATTATCAGGGTGACTAAGGGGGATACTAGGAGTTTAGACAATGGCTCATAGCCTTAGGGTTAATTAGTATTCCGAGCCATCCGGGGGAGGGTTCCATGTTTTCTCATGTTTAGGAGCACCGAAAGCAGTACAGAGCAATAGTAGCAATACCAATAGCAGAGTATCAGTGCATGTGGACGGTCTTCCAGAAAGGTATGTATGCATATTTCCTGGGCACCATGGTCCTTTTTATGGCTAGTGAGCCCCACCTAGAAAGGACACACTCTTTAAAACAAAATCCCTAAACCCTGAGCCTTAAACCTGAAATCCTAATGTCCAGAAATGCACTTTGCAGGCGCTGGTCTTCTGTGGACCACACCCCTGGCCCCGAGCCGCCGTGGGCAGTTGCTGCTGCACTTGTCCCGCGCGCTCCCCGAAAACATGATGGGAAGTGAAAAAGGGGTTATATATATATACAGTTTATATATGTAAGGTTTCCCAAAATTAAGGGTCCCTTCTTAGTGTCCCCATAATGAGGATTCTCGTATTTGGGGGTCAAGATTGGATCTTGTGGAAACTACCAGAGTTTTTGTTGCAGGCGTGGTTTGTAGGATGCTGCGTGGCATCAGCTGTAATGTGCCGCTTGTCATCCTTACCAAAAAACTGAACTGTCAATGGTCAGTCAATGCAAGGCTGGGCTGCTGCCAGCTGCTGCTTTTGGGCGGCACGTTGCCCCACAAGCACAATCCTCAGTTTGCGATTCGTCCGGTCAGTGAGCGAGCCAAGCAAGCTAGATGTGTTGCGAGCTGGCGCACCAGCTCAGTAGCAGCAGGATGGTATGGTTGTAAGCGTGGAACAGACGTCTTGGATTTTAAGCGCCGAGCTACTCGAAACCGTAAACCTTGCCTTAAACCCTACCCCAAGCCATGCTCCAAACCCTATATGGTAGTTTCCCAAAATAACGGGCCACTATAAACCCTAATATATTATAATCCTTATTATGGGGACCCCCAAATGGGTACCCCTAATTTTGGGAAATCCCCATGTACCCTGGACGCTATGGCTTTTGCGTCCAGTGCGGCTTAGCAAAGCCTGCTTTAATAGTAGCTTCCATTTTCTTTTCCATTATCCCCCATATAACCATTATTATTATTACTATTATTGTTATTTTTATTACTACTATTATTACTATTGAGGCTTGGGAGTCAGGGCCTGAACGCACATAGCTTGCGCCAGTGGCGAACTTGGCAGGCAACTCAGAGTGTTCACCACAAGAAGTCCAAGGCCCCATCATAGTATATTGGGGCTATATAGGGATAATGGAAAGTAAAATGGCAGCTACTATAGTATATTGGGGTTATATAGGGATAATGGAAAATAAAATGGAAG